ATTCCATCTCAGCTTACAGGCTAGTCTTGACCCTGGTTAGCGCTGAACTCGGAAACCGGTGACAATTAACTAGCTTTGATGACTCCAGCGCTAACCAGGGTCAAGACTAGCCTGTAAGCTGAGATGGAATCCAGTTTCTTACTCTGTTTACAGGAACAGAGTAAAAGAGGGATCGTCCCCCTTCTCACTGGCATTTTAATCATGACAGAAAGTAGAAAGAAACATGACAGTCATAGCTTTCTATTTAATAAATGTATTTTGTCATCCTTTTAACAATTTCACCACCTATTTTAATGCAAAATACATAAAGCTTCTTTATTTCCCACACAGGCTGAACCAGAGGAGCAACATAAAACATTCCCAGTCTGGAGATTTTTCGCAGGCACCTCAGAGGCATAAAGCCCGGCGGAGGCTGCAGAGAGGCCAGTCAGAGGATGTGCCGTGCTCCACCAGAGCACAGGTAGAAAAAGACTCTCCTGTTTCAATTTCCCTCCTTTAAAACTTCCCACTGATGCCGGTGTTGTTTTTTCTCCAGGAGCAGCGGGCCGATCCGAAGCCGGTGGAGAATGTTTCAGACTCAGAGGGGTATCCCAGCCTGGAGGGCCATACCAGAGCTGCATCTCTCCCTCGCCTAAATGCCGAGTACCACGTAAGCTCCTCCCCTGTCGAAAGCATCTCCGTATGTTCCTGTGCTCTCCATGTCAGTGTATGTTTCTTAGAAATGCTGCCACTGTGGACGTCCTGATTGTTCCCTAGCGGGAAAGTGAAATAAGCGGCTGGACTAATAGAGGACAGGACTGATAAAAGGCCAGAGTGAAATCAACCGTAAGCAAATGGAGGCAGAGCAGCTCCCTGTCTGCCCACATAAATCAGCCTGCTGACCTCGACCTAAACCAGCCTGGCCCTTTCCTCTGTTTTACGGACGGCAGCAAGTAGTTCATCTCTAGACTCAAAAGGTCAAACAGGATCATAGCGCTGCATCAGCACACTTTTTTGCCATTCCTTTGATTAAAAATAGAGATAATTTACAAAAATATAAATTGCCCCATTAAAGTAATGATAAGTCTGGAACAGACATCAAGTCTTTTCTCATCTTATCTCATTATAACTTTAAACCAGAGTGTTTATTAATTAATTTAACTAGATAAACTTCAAAATTATGTACTGCTTTTATGTTTCTCCATCACATATTTCCACAAAATATAAAACCATGGAATTTCTAAAGAGACCAAATGTAAAAATACCAAACATTTGTCAAGTATAACTCTATAATGTAGTGCCATTCCTAAATTAAACTGTCTTCCTGATTTAATACCTAAATTAAGTTCATTTCTAAGGCTTTTTTAAGACTAAATGTTTGATCCTTCTTTTGTAATAAAAAAAACTTTAGGTCAGAAGTACTGCTAATTTCTACGTTTTTATGTTTTCCTTTTTATGTTTAAAGGAAGGAGGCATAGAGTTTTTAGCTAGAAACATAAAACTGGTGACACATTGGGTGGATTACTCACTGGGCCGGATCTATCAAAGGTTTGCGTGTATAAAAACGTGAGCTATTTCACTGCGCACGCTAAAAAATGTACAAACTGATCTATCAACAGCGTGCTAAAAGGATTTGGTCTTTAAAACGTGCAAAATAGCGCCTCTTATCCATTTAGTACTTTTTCTATAATGAATATGCAATATGGGGCGTTTACACGCAAAAGTGCGTCTTGTGGGAGGAGAACATGTAAATATATTAATTTAGCACTCGCAAAGTGATTTATTAAACCTGAAAGCAATTTTGCTAACGGTATCTGACTCCATATTTAACACGTTTCAAAAGAAGGTGCAAATGGTCTGTATGCGTAATTGCGCACACATGGCAGCGGTTATTGTCGCAAGAAGGAGACATCGAAATGAAGCAAGGAGACGCAGAGAACGCATTTTTTCACTCCGTGTGAATATTTTTGGAATGAACGAGGAAACGATCATCAAAACATTTCGTTTATCCAGCATTGCCATTTTGGAGCTGCAATTCCAGTGATTTGCTCCTCACAGAGCGTCAGCTGTACTTGTTCCTCAATGCTGGTCAGAGGCATCTCATCTACTGTGCCCCCTCCCGTTTTGTTCGCAGATGTTTTGTTATACGCCAGTTTTTCTTTGGTTCGCCTTCTAATATCCTGGTATCTTCTTTTTACTTCATCCACTGTTCGCAAGGTTTCACCAACAGCGTTTACTTTATTACAGATTTGTTCACATATAGCGTTCCTCTGTGTGACAGTCACACTTCTTTGCTGTAGCTCACTTAAATGTTTGTTGGCTTCATCCACCAATACCTCCATTTCCATGGGGTCGAATTTCCTTTTGCGCCTTCTGCTGTCCAAACTCGCCATGCCGCAAACCACAAAACGCGCAAAACCATCATTTAAATAGGGCGTCTCCAACAGTTTTGCACCTGCCACCAGTTACGCAATCGCTCTTGTTAAATCACCCGCAAACCATGGTTCAGCCCCTCTCGCAAAATTCCAGTTTGCGAGCGCAAATTACTGCACGCAAAATTGGATCTTGATAAATCCGGCCCTTTATGTTTAATAATATATGTGAAAAAACACATAATTTTTCTACTTAGAGATTTTACAATCATAAGCAATACTTCATCAAACCCCTTAAAGAAAATGGGTTATATAAATAGATGATAATTAAATTCAAATCTAACAATTTAGAAATTTTTTTCAAACTTTTCTTTGTTCGTTTTGCTTTTTACTTCCAAATCCAAATAATTAGATAAATCAGTTCTACCAGCATCGTGTTTAAAGGATTTATTTCCCTGTTTCTGGATTTTTCCAGCTGTCTGATCTTGTCTGTCCAGCTTTAGGGTCTTCACTGTCTTGTCTGTCTTGTTTTTCTCCGTCATCCGTGTTTCCCCCATGATTCTTGAACATGTGCTTTCCTGCTGTTTACGTTGCATTTTGAAGCCCTTTAAAGAACTCAGGCTGCCGTCGCTCCACGATGCCTTCACATTATTCTTATGCTTCACAGATTATCATTGATAAATCTGCTAGACTGATTTTGTGTTATAAACCAACAAGCTGATTGTTTGGTCAAATTTTATTTTGCAAATGAAAATCTGATAGGTTTGAATGAGCAAACTAATGAAGCTGAATGAGAGCACTGTGCAAAAGTTCATAACCACTACTTAATTCCTTAGGACTCCTAGGGGCATGAAAGGCTTAAATCTTAGAATTTAGGGGTTAAAATAATCCTCCTGCTTTGGATGGTTGGTCCCCTCCTTGTCATCCAGGTCAGGATGGTGCTGCTGCTTTTCACAATGAGCAGTTTGCAGGTTTCCTTGGACACTCCCATCTAGATTGTCTCTACTTCCTGACACTTCATTGGTAATTAAGAGTCAATAAAACCAATTGTATTCAAAATAACTTTTGTGCACAAAACTAGTTAATCATATAGCTTTAGGAATCAGTTTAGGTCATCAGGTGATGAGAGTGAACTATTTGAATAAACAGATAATCCTTCTCCTAAAAAGTCAGGATCTCTACAGATAATAATTGAGCCAACACTTCAGAAAATCTGGGTAAATTATTAACCAAAACCTTTTGAAAAGATTATAGAAAGATCTGCTGGATGGGATAAAAGAGGGTATAGTTTAGACTTTTGAGCAATCCTGTATACCATACAAATGTAACTTAATGGCAGCTTTCATAATTAAATCATGTCAGGATCCAGTAGAGTGCCTTGAGGAACTCCATATGTAACATGAGTTTATTTTACGAATCGTATCTGTTTCAAAGTTCTGTTGGAGTTTTGGACGTTCGGTAACAGCCTCGTCTTTCTCAAGTCTCCAGCCCCCAACTCTGTCTGCCCTTTGTTTTCTTCTGTTGATGCTCACTGCTAATGTTTTGCCCACCTCCTCTTGTGCGTGCTGTCTGATAGCGGAGCCACCCTCGCCACGCCCCCGGGACCCACCTGGCAGTATGTACCACCTGTTGCGCCACCTCTCTGTCGCTTCTTCTCTCCCCTCCTCTCTTTCCTCTTGCCTTTCCTCTCTTGTCTGTGTTTGCCCCATCACATTGCAGAGTTGACGCCCTCCACAATGCACCAATCATTTCATATAAATGTCGGTAAAAAGCGGCTTTCACAGCAAACACATTCACATGACCCATTAAAGCCATACATCCTTGGAAAGGTATCTGTATGTGTTCTCAGGGTACGTCAAGCTCTCTTTCCTGCTTTCCAACCAGTTGCTACAGCAGTACAGTGCTACACTTTTTGGTCGTGTGTGTTTGTGTTGTTCTGTGAAAGGTAGAGACGGTACTGCTGCTTTTCTGTTTGAAAGAAAAACTTAAAACATGTTTGATTTCATCATTTGTGTTGATTTCAGCCCTAAAATCTTATTTGCCTAATTTAATTAAAATGTATTAAGAAGTCTGATTCTTTTTAGACTTTAAATTAAGCTTTGAAGGAATTAATCTTTCAGATAGGAACAGAAATAAGAAATACAGTCTGGAGATTCTTCCTCGGGCAAATCTGCTCGTTATTTCAAAATAAGATTTTAAGGCTGCTTATTAATTTAATGGTTGTGTTAAGATTAGTTTCTTAACATGATTCGTCACCTTTGGATTCTGACTGCAGCAGCAGTTCAAACTGTGAGCTAGAGGAACACCTAAACCACCTAACATACCTCACATGGAAGAGATTATCCTTTATTTATCTAATCAGATTAAGAATTTATCATTTTTAAACCTGTAAAATTGGCCGTTTTATTTAAAATCATTGCTTAAATCAGTTATCAGGAGGTTGGACGGTGTGTTTAGGTTCCTGTTCCATTTCTTTAGCTCACCAGTTTGATTGCTGCAATCCCAGCTGCTCGACAAGGTAAGAATCAGATGGGGTGAGTAGCACTGTCTTTACAGCTGAACAAAACAAAGTTAAGGAATTTGTTATTCTTTTTTTAGGGATAAAGGTGATTATTCCACATTAATGCATACTTGCATTTTGATATGTTTTTGATATGTTGCAGAAACAAAAGTGGCTTAAGGATACATAAGTCAGCCCTTTGGAAGGACTGTTATCTCAG